GCTCACATGATGCTTATTACACAAACACACACACACACACACACACACGCACACACGCACTCACACACACACAGACACGCACACAATGGGTATTAGGATAGGGCAATTTGAACCTGGGGACTGTGAATACACAGGATCCACTTCGCTATATTTATATGTATGTGCGGGTTGGCCTTGCGTTGCTTTGCCCGCTTTATTTCGTTGTGTTAAGTAGCGAATTTTTGGTTTTATTCTGCGTTTCCTTTTATTGCTTTCGACTATTTATTATTATTATTTCTGTGTTACATATGTGATTAACGCCTATTTTTCGTTGGTAAAAAAGAATAATTAGCAATCAAATGAAACACTTTCAAACTCATCGCTCTTGTTCGCTCTCGCCCTCGAATGTGCTTACAATGACATAGAAAAACTGAAACCAGAACAATAAAAACGTTTCACATAAATTTAAAACATAAACAAAGAAATTAATTAAAAAAGACAACTGAAAACATTTTATAAAATAAAATCAAATTTGAACATAAACCTCACCCGCAAAAATAATAAAAAAAAAAAAAAAAAAAAAAAAAAAAAAAAAAAAAAGAAATTGTTGAACAATTTGTGACGAAAATATAAACTGGCTCTCACCAAAAACCAAAATCACTTTACACAAACAAAGCAACAACAACAATGAAAACCAAATCACCTAATTAACTGCAAAACCAAACAAAAGAAAAAGAAAACCAGCAACAAACAAGCAAAGCAAAACACAAATAAACAAAGCCAAAACAAAATGTTAACTATGCAATCTCACCTCTGGACACCAACCAACACCAACAGTGGCCAGCTAGCGAGTTACTCTCTCTCTCTCTCTCTCTCACTCTCTCACTCTCTCTCTCTAGGAAAACGAAAACAACAGCAAATCAAGTATTCCAAAGTAGAAGTACACTTGAAAACAGTTTAAATAACACGCCAGCACACATACACACACTCTCTCTCTCTCTCTCTCACACACACACGCTAAGAATCTTACTTATTTAGTGCTTTCAATTTCACTCAGTTTCCACCACTCGCTCCACAAGAACCACGCTCACACACCACAAATCGCTGCGTGCGCTCACTCGTTAGCTGATCTTGATCACCTACTAAATATACTAAATACTCGCCCACTCGCCCACCCGCCCACTTGCCCACTCACCAAGCTCACCAAGCTCACCACGCTCACCACGTTCACTACGTTCACCACGTCACCACGACTCACTCACCACTCTCACTCGCCACTTTCTCACTTCTCACTGCGGAATGGCCAGGCATTCAGTATTGTCCAACACTGGCGCGTATTCAGCAAGCGGATGCGACGCTCACCACGTACTCGTTTAGATCACAACAAAGAACAACTACAACTACAACTACAACAACAACTACTACTACAACTACAACTACAACAACAACAGCAGCAACTCAATTATGTTCATTTTTTTTCCTTCTCCTTTGTATCTCACCAACTCTCGTACACTACTTTATCAATATATATATGTATATATATTCATTCGACTAAAGCCAAAAAAAAAAAAAAAAAAAAAAAAAAAAAGAAAATAAAGAAAAACAATGAAAATACAGCAAGTAAAATTCAATTAAACAAAATCACAATTAAATCTATATATATATTTACATATATCTATACAATATCCTAAACAAACAAAAAGAGATATTGATTAACTAACTCAACTCAACTCAACTCAACTATTAAGCAAGAGCAACCTTCATTCACACACTCAATCACCAACTGTCACAGTAAATTTATCTATCAATCACGCAACCATAGACTCTCACCCACGCAAAGTCAAAGCCAAAATTAATCCAATTACCAATTACCAACAACCAAAACAAAACAACAACAAAAATGCCGCTAACTGACCAAGCTAATATAAAGCAATTATAAACGATAATTTTACGCCACACTCTCTCTCTCTCTCTCTATATATATATACATATCTCTCTCTATCGCTCTGTATTTAAATTGTGTATGTGTATTACCTATATATATTTATATATATTTAAAAATCAAAAGCTAAACTAAAATTATGAATCCCATATAAAATGTTGAAAGCCCGAAAAACATTTAGTAACACTTAAGCTATCCAAAACCAAATTATGTTCTTAACAATTCCGATTATGACACACAAAATACAAATCGATATAACCACAATATTTACAAACAAAAACAGCAAAAAAAAAAAAAAAACAACAACAACAAAAGAAGAGAAGAACATGAAGAGAATAAGAAGCAAAAATTAAAGAGAATCTGAAATTTGTAAATATTTATACTGGTTATAGGTTCACGGGCAATCGAACTAACAAACGACGAAGAACTATTAAAGCCATCCCAGTTGTTAACTGTTTACACTGAAAATACTTAGTATTATTTGAAATCATTTGACGTATACCTCTGTTGAAGTTGCCCGTTGGCCAATAGCAGGATATCCCTGAGATGATATCATAGCTATATATCTATTGGCCGACTGGCGACTATTATTAATGCTAAGTCCTTGACAACGAATGCGCAACGCGTGCGCTTCGTTCGATAACATATAGCCGTATATACCTCTATATATATTTACAAATATACGTATATGTCTGTTTGTCTTACTCTTACTTGTACTGTGTTGAATATATTTAGAATTAACGTACCCAATTTACACCTTAATTCAAATTTGTTCGTACATTTTTCTCCATTCAATTCAATTCAATTCAATTCAATTCAAATACATCTAGTTGTTCACACCATCTTCTACAATTTTATAATAACTATAATATGTATATGTTTTCCTTAACTTTCTTTTCGAAATGTTCAGTTTTTGTGTACAACTACACTATCACGTTCACTCTCTCTCTCTCACTTTCTCACACATACTCTCTCTCTCTCTCTCTAAACACTCTTCGTCTCGCAATTTTCTTACAATTACATGCACAGCTTTCAGCTGTAGCACACAATTTTTATTGCTCACTGTTTCACAAACTACCACCACCACCACCACCACCACTGCCACCACTACCACAAACTCACCACGATCACAAGACAAACTTACCACAATAACGATCACACTCATAATCGCAAGTATTCGCTCACCGTTCACCAACTCACCGGGTTATAGATTTTTGATCACGTTTTCAAGCAAGTTGAATAACATAAATTCACCACAGCTCAGCTCACAACTCACCACAGCTATAAGATAGCTAAGCGCCAGATTTGTTCTGTACTAAATACTCAGACGATCACATTTCAACTTTTTCACTAACAAAAGCAACTAACAAAACCACCAAACCACCCAACCACCAAAAAATATTTAGATACGAATTAAATATCAAACACCAAGGAACATGAGGTAACTATGTTTGAAGCTAATAAGAAATGGCAAAAAAAAAAAATTTAAAAAAAAAATCCACCAACTACAAATCTGTGCATTCAATTTGCAGAAATTGAGAAGCCATTATCGAAATTTCATGGGTATTAGGAGACCGTTTCACGAGACTTCTTTTATGTTATTTCCATTCAGATGTTTGCGTATAATTTGTTGATTTTTATAAACTTCTCATAGTCAGCCGAGAGCCAAAAGTTAAAAGTCAAAAGTCATATATGAAAATAAAATATCGATTGAGTGGTCATCGTTACGAACAGCTAAATTCAGATACTAAACAAAATTCCAAAAGCCCAATTAAAAATTGGAAAAACTCAAACAAATCACCCGAAAGTCCCGATTGGCCTTCAACACATCAAGAGGCGGCCCAGAACTGAAGTGCGACACTCGTTTATCGGCTCGAATCACCTCTCTCTCTCTATCTCGCTCTCTCACTCTCTCACTCTCTCTCTCTCTCTCTTCATCCATCCATCTCTCTCTATCTATCTATCTATCTATCGCTTTCACTCACACTTCAGTCGACTGGGCGCCGAATCATGAACGTGAAAACCTCGACTTAAATTTGCATTCCCAGCAATTTTCTATATTCAATTGCTAGTCAAGCATACTTCGCAATTCGTTTTACACTCCACACCAAAATTGATTTATCGTTCCTTTTGATTTGTATATAAACGTATTTCGTTTTTTATTTTTCTCCTATAATATATATCTAACGAAATGTCAGGTCTATTCAAATTACCATATTGCTGTGACACCTTACTATACTTATATGATAATTAAATTTCCAATCAGAATCCAATTCGATAAGTTAAAATTGCAAATTGTATTTATTTCATATCGATTAAACCTCCGGGCAGCCAATCGCGATCAAGCTGAACAGCAGACAAGAAAAAAATCCTAACACACCCGATCCGATCGGATATTAATTGAACTGCAGAACTGCTGTTCAGGGTGGTCGCGATAACGGTATTCGCCCCTGAATTGGGCCCGATGTGAGGCAGCTGAAATCAGCAAAGCAAAACCTTTTATATATGAAATCCTGTACATATGGCAGATCATTTCCTCTCTCTCTCTCTCTATCTCTATCTGTCTCTTTGTCTAACTCTTTCTCGCTTTGTTAATTTGTAAGACAGTTAAACTAATTGTAAGGCAAAAAGTCAAAGAAAATTAAGTTCTTGTTAAAAAATAACGTAATAGAAAAGCATAAGAGAAGAATTATAAGAAGAAAAGATGAAGATGAAGAAGATGAAGAAAGAATAACCTTAACCCTGCCATATAAGTTAATGTACATAAACTACTTATACAATACTTATAAAGCACACTTCTAAAGAGAAAGCAAAAGAAGAAGAGAAAAGAAAAACGTACTAATTATGATACAGATATACTTAGCAAATTTGTATAACCGTTCAGCATTAAACAACCAAAAACATTTCAATTTATATTCCCGCCCCAAACGCCCCCCGCTGCCAATTCGCTTAATAATAATGTTCTTTCTCTTACTACGCATACTTCAACACGCAACGCGAAATCGATCGATTGTCGATAACCTGTCGATCAATACACACACACACACACACATACACACATGTGTATACACATATATAGGTGTCTCATGTCAAAATCGATTCACCTGTTTTTCGCCTGCACACAAACGCAACGGTTATTTTACTGATCACATTCTCGATTGCTGTGACAACGCGGCAGTACGTAGGAAACCCCATAGACTGTGTACACACAAGGTAAGATATCGAACCTCTCTCCGCCTCGCCCTCCCCACTGCCCCACTCTTGGTACATCTTTTGATATATATATATTTGCAGAGACATTCCGGAAGATGTTCTCAACACATATTGTTGGATACACTCAACGTATACAGTTGTGGATGCGTTCATGAAAAAGCAAGGTTCCGAGGTGCCTTTTCCTGGAATTCACAATTCACAGGGGCGTGGCCCTCTAACAATAAAGCACACAAAATATTATCAATGGGTAGCGTTTACACTATTTTTTCAGGTAAGTTTCCCATTTAAATATATGTATAAGAAACAAAACCGTTAATCTCTTGTATACAAAAGTTCTGTATGGGAGAGCTTCGAAAGCTTTTCAGCAACTATTTGAATCTATATGGTTATACTAAGCAAAAAACGTTCACTTCTGGCTAACTTCCTAGAATAAAGCTTGCAAAGCTTTAGTGGATAATCACGCTAAAAGCTCTGCAGCTTTGCATAAAGTGTTGGTGCAACTTCGTGCAGCTTTTGAGCTTAAAGCTTGCAACTTTTTTCGTCTAATAGCCAACCGAGATATCTACCTGCTAACAAGTTCATTCATTTAAAAATGCAGAGAAAAAGCAAAAAGTTGACAATTTATTATTAATTTTGATGTACTTAATATTTTAAAATACTTTTAAAAAAATTGTAAATA